CCTTAAAGCCTCTAATAGCTTTTAGTTGAATAGGCTGGGTTATCTAAAGGCTATAGTTAAGTCTGAGAAGTTTTAGAGGGCTTCTTACTGAATAGGCTAAACTATTTAGAGGATTACTATAGTCTAAGTCCTAGAAGCCCTAAGGGGCTTCTAGCTATATGTGATAAGTTATTTAGATTTAAATAGTTAGGTCTAAGAAGCCCTTAGGGGCTTTCTTCTAGTTATATATATTATTCGAACTCTATAGTTAAAGTCCTAGAAGTCCTCCCTATTAGTAGGTTTATAGATACTTATAACTAGTCTGTTCTAGACGTAGAATCTAATATATATCGTCGTCTAATATACTTTCCCTTCGCTAGCCCCCTAGTGCCCCCCTTCTATATTACTCGTTTATTAGCCCTAAAGAGGCCTCTTTCTAGCCTAAATCCTAGCCCTAACCTAACCTATATTAACTAGTAAAACAGCACTACTTAAATTTAGGATTCTAATAGCTAGTTTTTACTAAGTAGAATTTCTAAACTTAGGTTTAAAATTCTAATAACTAGGTTTTATTAAATAGGATTTCTAAACCTAAGTTTAAGATTTTAATAGCTAATCTTTACTAAATAGGATTTCTAAATATAAATTTAAGATTAAATAGGATTTCTAAACCTAAGTTTAGGATTTTAATAATTAGTTTTTACTAAGTAGGATTTCTAAACTTAGGTTTAGGATTCTAATAACTAGTTTTTACTAAATAGGATTTCTAAACCTAAGTTTAAAATTCTAAGAACTAGCTTTTACTAAGTAAGTTTTCTAAACCTATATTTAGAATTTAATAATTATAGTTATTTCTACTTCCCCTAATATAAATTAATTTTTTATCTATATAGCTAGCCCTAACCTTAAACCTTTAGTAGCTGTTTCCTTATATTATAATAATTAAATAATATACCTAAAGTTTAATATAAATAGAATATTTAAGTTTATAGTTATAATGCAGCCTCCTTATAAAAAGACTATAGTAAAATTCACCCTATACGTAAGTATAATTCTAGAAACACTATATAGGCATTTTAACTTATACCCTCTACTAATTAAGGAACATAATATAGAAACCTTATACGTTCCTACTAGTAGGTAAACCCTTATATAAAGTTAAACGCACGCCCTAGCTGAATAGACTAGAAGGCTATATATATTATTAGGAGGCGTAAAGTTAAGAGGTCTATCGCTCTAAGTAGGTAAAAATCACTATGAACAGCTAGAGGCCTAAATAGAAGATTTATTACTATATAACTTATAATAATACTAAAGTAGTAAAGTATTTTATAACTTATTATTCTTTTATAAATATCTATTTTAAAACTTTTTATTTAAATAAAACTTTATAATATTTATAAAATATTTCTAACCTTAACTAGATTTTCAGTAAGTAATATAAGTAATTATTTATATAATACTAACTACTTAGGTTAACTCTTATTAATAAAATAGAAGTAATAATAATAAATTAACTTAGATATATATTATATATATATCCCTAAAAACTAGTAAAACTCTACGTATAGGTTTCATAGGGCCTGCTATTCTCGCTAGGCAGATTATCTATTTATCTAGGCCTCCCCTAGCAGCTAAGAAGCGCTAATTTAAACCCTTATAATCTAATAAATAGCTATAGCTAGATAGAGCTCTACTATATATATAGGTTTAGGATTATTATAGTAAGAAGTTACTAATAAAGTAAGTAAAGTAGGAGAACTAATTAGTTTTAGTTTTTGAACTTAGAACCTAATTAATAGAATATAGAATATAGCGATCTAATTAGTATAGAGGGCACTTTTAAACTCTATAATTTATAGCTAATTAGAGCAAAGTAGCTTTATATAACCTTTTCTCACGCTATTAGAGATAGTAAGATAACCTTTCCTAATAGAAAGCATTCTATTACCTTAAGTACTTCTAATAAAAAAAGCTATTATTCTATAACTTATAAAATAACTAAAACTATAATAATAAGAAGTAATTAAAGTTATTTAGAAATATATAATTAATTTATAGGGATAACTATATAATTATATTAATTATCCTTAAGGGGGTATAATAGATTATAGGAGTTAAAATAATACTTCTTAGTTACTAGAAGTAGTTTAGATAAATAGATAATCTACCTAATAAGAATAATAAGCTTTATAAAAACCACGCGCAGAGTTTTACCTATACTTAGGGATATATAATTAATATATATCTAAGTTAATTTATTAGTTCTATGCTATAGAACCTCCTGCTTAAGTATTATAGTATATTACAGACCAGTTAGCAACTAGGGGTACTTAATATCCTTTGCAGCTACTATCATCTTAGTTAAAGATTTCTTAGCCCTATCAGCAATATTGAGGTCCGCCTCAAAGTTGATAACGTAGTCGTGAATAGAGCTAGATAGGGCGTTATACACTCAGTACCTATAGCCTATGTTATTAAGATAGAAAGCGCCCTTCATATACCCACTAGCACAGATCTTAACCTCAATCAACCCGTCTGCCTCATTTGTCAGTAGCCCCAGACAGTTTTATTTGCTCTGTATAGCTTCAGCATTTCTAGGCTGGAAAGGTCTATTAGGCAACAGAAGACAGGCTAACTGTCGCTGCAGCTAACGGGAATTTCAAATCCAGTCCAGTCTCCGCAGTCAATTAGGCTGCTGAAGCTGGCACTATCCTCAGTTAGGAACCCAGTATGTTTAGTGGGTACCTCCTGATTCCAGCGCTGAATAAGGGAGGTACCCTCTGTGAGAACGGTGAGAATATAGCGGATACCTCCCGATTTTTAGTGAGGATATCGGGAGGAACCAAGTTAACAGCGCCTTCAGGCTAAAGGTTTCAGCAGCTGCTAGTGTGTTAGCAGCGCCTCCTCCGTTAATGCCTTAGGTAGGTAGGCACCTTACTTTACTATGTAGGTATCCATCACGTCGAGGTCACTCGGCCCCTCGCTGGAAGGGCTGGTTTCCACTACCTTACACCAGCACACTGCAGAGGCAACTGACGACCCACCTCCGTTGGCGATCGCAGTGCAAGGGCCTGGTTGAATGAATCGCATCGGAGGATCCAGCCATGCAGGCTTGTTGTTGGAGAAAGACCGGCTCCCGTTGATTGGCCCTTTATGGGATGGGCAGGGTGACTGTGTCTGTTGCATCTGTCGCTCATGTGATCCGAAGCATTAATAAGTCGACAGCAGGCTGTTTGTCGATGGGGGTGCATGACGGAAGAGGACACGGGCGGGAGACGAGACCCATTTTTCGCGTTTCCCCTTTTGAGGCATCTCCAACGCCGACACCATGCAACGCAGCACGCTCTGCCAATAACAGCCCCTGCCACCACAGTCTGCCATCAGCGACTGCCACCACTTTTGAGGAAAGTAAAGCCGCATCTTGACGGCCGCATCGGGAGCATGCACTTATTGGCACTTTTCCTCTCACCGGTCAACGATTCTGCAGCATGTCCTGCAAACACAACGGCCATCCGCAGCTCCTCCGCGTCAACCTGGAACGCGCCGCGAATCGCTGGTCAACGTCGGCGCCCATCATCGGCGTGCAGACAGTCCAATTGGCGCAAGGGGTGAAGCAGAGATGGATTGAGAGACCTGATAAAGTACTTGGACCAAACATCCCCACAGGTCGCAGCGCTTAGAAGATGGGGATTTCCCGTCCCAGAATCCTCTCTTCTCTTTCCTCTCGCTCCCTCCGCCCCGACCCGTGCCACAGAAACACGACATTGCTGCGTGCTGGCAAATGACACTTTCACGCCCTCCCGTGCCCGTCTACTCCGCGTCCGACGATGCATGGCGCGCGCCGGCCGCTGCCTCAACGGCATCAACGACACCGATGCGAAAACCCGATACCCCGGAGGAAAGAACATGCACGCGGTGCTCGCAGCGCCTCGACGGGTGGTGGGAGTACATTCTACACAGCGATCGCTGCCTTAGGTCCAGTCTCCAACGGCTTCGCGAAAGCCCGGGCTGAATGCGGTTGGACTGCTCAGGAACCCCGCGACGGCGGCCCAGTGGAGAAGAAGAAAAGTACTGAGGTCGGAGTCATCCCCACAAGTCTCCTCCCCGAACCGCGGGGCTGCGTCGTCCCTCCGTACGTGCTTTGGTCTGACGGCTTAACAGTGGAGATCGGCCCGACCCATGCAAAGCCGAAAAAGCAACGGTTCTGAAGATCAAGCTTTGAAGCGGGATGGAGACTCGGATAATGGGATCATCACGGGAGCGGACATGTTTCTGGTGGGGGCAGCGCCTTGTCTGAGCATTGTGTGAAGAAGGGTTTTCAGTGGTTCTGACAACCGTCTTTTTACCTCAGTCTTCGCTTGTACTAATACAACACTGAAAGCCACGTCCACTATTCCACGAACACGGTGTCTACGTGACCAACCGGCCCGACAGTTTGAAACCGTGCGACATCAAGTCGGTCGCTGGATGCAACCCCCACGAACAATAATCGAGACGCCTCTCTGCTGGACACAGCTTTTGTCCCATGGCTAATTTCCCGCTTTGCCTTTTATTGTGGTGCATACTTCCGTTTTGCAGCCGTCTTCACTAAATCTGCTGCGCACTTCACACATTTTGGCACTATGCATCTGGGATCTTGCTGACGCAAGCCTTTTGTATTTGGGGCCGATACTCAGCTAAACCCGGGAACTACCACTTCACGAGCTGAGCGAGAAGAATTGAACTTGATATTCACACTTCAACCCCGAGTATTACCCAAGTCCAGCTTAGCCAGCCCTTTGCCATTAGGGGTACTTGCCTGTACCGAAACGACCGACGCTTCTTGTGCCGCTGAGCAACAGAATCATTGGCGCTTCATACTCCATTGTCAAAGGTCGGGCACGAGTCTCGTGTTCATTTCAACCTTGTCTTCCTCTGACCTTGTAATCCTAGGCGTGCCTTTGGTCGTCTTCTGGCTGGGTTTGGGAAGTAGGTCCATGAAGGTCCAGATTGTTCATCCCTGAAGCCACCTGATTGACGTTGTCTTCTGGTTGGGCCGTGGAAGTAGAACCATGAATAGCCAGGTTGTTCAGCTCGGTCGCCACTCGATTGACGTCGTCTTCGGCCGCGGGATTGGTACGTCTGATTCTGCGAAGCTCTGCACCAAACACGTTAGTCTCTGCGATCATGGGCCTCAACTTGACTTACCTCTACTTGCGGCAATCAATGATTGGTGGTCCAGTTCAGCGGGCTCGGAGCCGTCGAGTTCTTTGGCAGCGATGGCCTTCTTGATAGTATCGATGACGTCGCTCGCTGGATAGTTGAGTCGGGATGGGTTGTCCAGAAGTTTGCACAAGACCTTGAGAGAGCTTGCAGACGTTGCAACTTGGCGACCGAGATGGAGAAAGACTGCGGGCGGGCTGAGGTTAAGGGAGCGTTGGACACGATAAAAGCGCACAAGTGCTTTCCAATCTCTCCGGGCCATCTCTTCGTACTGTTGATGATATATCAACTTGAGGACTTCATCGGTGCGATCCCCAAATGAGCGGGTGACGAAGGTGGGCCATGAAACTTCGGCGAGACTGCATTCGCGCATGCGGACAGCAGTCCAGTGTGCAGACCGTAATGCATCCCACAGATCCAAAATGGCGAATTGATCTCTCTGATGTTGTGGAATATCTGTCGCCGCGTTCAGGCGGTTGATCAGTGCGGTCAATTCTGGCGTTGGGTTGCTCAGCTGGGTGATTGTGGAGGGTGGCTGCGCGGGAACTTGTCGTTGGGGCGGTCCGCGATATGGGGCTGTGAACGTCCACCCATCGTTCTGGGACAGACCTGTCGACATGACGAAGATTCAATCGACTCGGCGATATTGATACGGCGTTGGCAATTGTGATTCAGGACGTGGTATGCAGTTGAGCGGGTGAAGTCGCGAAGTGACGCAGTCGCGGGTGGTGCAAACGCAAAATTTGACGAGGTCGATGGTCGACGAACAAGAGGGAAGAGGGCAAAACGCGGTCCTGGAACCTATTGGAAGCATCATTTTGGCAATCGAGAAGGAACGGGCTACTTGGCTTCTTGAGTTCGTCCAGGCAGGTGCCATCGGGGAAGGAAGTAGTAGGTGTCCGGCCTCGGTTGTGGTTGTCTCTTTAGGGTAGGTAACCACAGCATCTGATCCTTGCGTCAATTTGAACGTCGCTCGGTCTGGTTTGTTCCTTCTCTTTTGCTCTGGTCTTGAGGATGTCCTGCAGACTCAACACAAGAATGCAGTTTAGCCAGTGCGCCCCCCATCTTTCCACCATCATCGCCAACCAATTGAGTTGTCACTCAGCCGATAAGAGCTAAGGCAGTCAGCAACACCCGCTGGAATAAATCCGCGATGGGGAACGTTCGCTCCAAAGTTTCAACCTCCAGTGCGAGTCCGGCCACTCTATAAGGACAGTCTCCTGACAATCGCTTCCGGATCAAAATGCACCTTGGAAATCGGCCTGAGTTCACCAGTGCGAACTGGTGCAGGCCCAGACTTGAGTGCTGCCTTCCTACCTTCCTACTTTCCTACCTTCCTGGTGTTCTCTCAATTGTAGGCTCCATTTTCGATGGGCGGTCAGAAAGGACAGTAGATGGGATGTCTGCCTTCTAGATGGAGGACACCAGAGGCAAGAACAAGTGCAACAAATGCTCATCCGCAGGCAATCAATATGACGATGCGTCACCAACCCCAAGTCGTCCAAAATCCATCCCAAACATCATCACCATTGGCCTTGCCGATATTCAAACCATCAGTCTCGTTACAGGCACATATCTTTGATGCAAACATGGCTCAATCCAAACGAAGCTTTCACCGCCTCTTTAACTCCGACGCACAACAAGAGACACTCCGCGACCAACAACCACATCGTCCATACGAGGACAAGTTTGCGAGCGCCTATAGTCAGATCGAATCCTCCACAGAGGCCAATCATTTCATACCCAAACCACCCAGTCCCGTCAACTTCCCAAGTCCTATCAATGATGACAGACATCCAGCTCCCGTTACCCCTGGCCTGCAACCTCCCGAGCCGGAAGTGCTCTTTTCAATACACAGCTTCCAGGGCACCGACGAGGCAACGGCATGCGGATCGTCTTCGGACGAACCATGCGTCAACGAACTCCCACAATCGTATTTGTCCAAGAATGGCCCCAACACCTCCAATCAACCATCTCCGAAGGACGTCGCTGTGCTTGCCGGGTTGCGGAGTATCCAAGTGGCTGCTCGTGAGGCAGTCACGGCTGTCGAGCGTCATGCCGATGCTTTGGACGCGGTATGTGGCCAAATCGCTGCATTTTTGTCGTTCCATATTTCAATCCATGCTAATGCTTGACAGTTCGTCGTCAGTTTTGTACAATACATGAAGATGGAGCAGACTCGAAACACCAGCGATTCCAGCAACGCGTAGTCGCGAAAGCTTGAGACTACTATGCCCCACGTCCTAGAGAAGATCGAGACGGACAACGGCATGGCGAGGAAAGTATTAGGCTGCAGTGCGGAGGCAGGAATGAAATGACCGCGCAAGGATACCTAGTACATGAAAGAACAGACCCAGAGGAGTCATTGAAACCAATGAGAGCCGATATTTTACATCGTGTTTGGTACGGCTCCATGACGAGGCAGAACGCTTCCCGGTCGAAAAGCAGTCGGCATATTCTCAACGGAGCACTAAGAAAACATTGTCAGGGAGCTAAAGGGCCAGCGCATGACGCCCCTCAGCAGTGTATCTCAGCATAAATTACTATACCGAGTTCAAAGCGTGCCCATCGCTATGATTACGTCCCATTTGGTGGCTCGTATTTGCTGTATGACTCACCATCCTCTAGGGTTACTTCATCCCCTTGGGGACATGGCTTATTTGTGTGGTGTCCCTGCGCCTGCTGTCCACTGGCGTCCACCCAAATTTCACCTCTAAAGAGTTAACATCCCTTGTGCTGTCTCAATAGCCCAGGAGAACAGCAAGCCCTCATCATTTGCCCTCCCACCCGCGGTTGATCTGACAATAATTGGCCATCTCTGTACCCTTGAGGCCAAACGCATGCAAGACGATTACCAGGCTTCCCGTCTGTAATGCATCCCCGTACCGCCCGTGGGCTTTTGCCGCCGTTCGGCACACCCCGGCAGGTCTGAACTGACAGGAATCAATCGTGTGTGACTTTTCCATGCCACGTACAATGAGTTTCCCAGCCCTTGGTGAACCCATCATTTTCGACAATTTGGACAGCTTCTATTACGCTCACAGCGCCAATCATGCCGGTCTTATCAATCAGACCCTTGAGGATGCTCTCCTTCGCATTGACCACAGAATTTCAACCAGCAGACTGCATCCGATGCCTGCCCAAACTTGTCGCCTCCCAAAATGGTGACGCCAACCCTCAAGCCAGGGCCTATCAAACTTGTTGATACCTCGGCCAGTAAATACGCCACCAACACCCCAATCACCACTAAGAAGATTGCAGAGAGGAGATACTCAGGAGCCAGAGAAGACCACCGAATTCTCATGCACTGTGCTATGGCGCCTAGTCAGGCGCCGCCGCCAAGCTCGACGAGTCTACACCCTTCCCCGCTCCCGCTCCTAGGTCTGCTCCCACCTACGTGAAAGTTTTCTCTTAAACGAAATCATGTCCTCGCCGTCGCATCCGAGACCGCTGTTCTTCTCCTCTGCTCAAGATTTCTGTTCCTCTTACTACTGCTGAAGTCTCACCGGAAAGCCGCAAAAGAAAAGCGCCAAGTCTGCTTCTGGCTCCTATACTCCTGACGTCGTAAAAGTCATCGTCGAGTTTTCAAGTCAGGCTAATTAACCGGTTGAGCTTCCCAATTCTGTCAAATATGCCAAGTCTGTCGACTGAATTGAGTGTGTGAACTTGGGTTGCATATGTATTACTCCCATGGGGACGACCAATATGCAACGCTCCAGATGCTGGCTAAAACGAACAGCTATGCTGCCATGCCACTTGGTGGGAAAAGGCCCACAAGAGTCTTGTCCTGTCTAAAACAAGTCAAACCCTATATTTATCGACCGTCCTTTGCTTTTGTTAGCCATAAACTCCGATGGCAAGACACGTCACGAGTGCGGGACTCTGGCTTCCTGTGGAAGATGCTCCTCGGAGATAACAACGCCCCTGGAGAGTGCCACGCTCCTCTCCTTCAAGTGTGACCATTTCTTCCCCAAAAGTGACCCAAATACCTGTCGCCTGGCAAAGAAAGTCGCCTGGCGGCCAGAAATCCTTCCACTCAACCAAGGATAATCAATCGCCAATCATGTACTTGCTATCGAAACGTAGGTACCTCAGCTTGTGCTTCCCTCCACCTCCACGAAGACAGGTGGTAGCAGTCAGTTCAAACCCACCCTGTCTGCAAAATTTGCTGATCAAGAGGACGGCGGCAGCTTTGGCGACGGCGGAAAGAAATATAACCCTCGATGTCTTCCGTCAAAGTCATACGGCAGTCAAAAAAGTGCGCCCAAAGTCACGCAGTCCCATTCGAGAATCAGAAGCCGGTCTATCATCTTAGACTGCCCTCTCCTCAGCTGTGTCTCTGACGAATCCACCTTCTTCATTAGCTCACGGCATATCTACAACCGGAATTCTCAGTCGATGATTCTCTTGAGACACGTCATGTTGCCACTTGCATTCCTGTCGAAGCAATCTCATCGATGACAGCATGATAACATTTTGGGGGCGTCGTGGGGTTGACAATTACGAAGGCCTCACCACGTTCATCACGGGACGCCGGGATCAGATCAGTGTTTTCAGGAAACATGTGTCTTCTTCATGGGGTATTCGATATTGCCCACTACATAATTTGAACTCCACCGTTGCACATGCTCAATGCTTCTAACTCGCCATGTTACGTAAGGGACAAGACCAATATGCCTCCTACATTACCCTCGCCTACGATGCCCTCGACTTCAGACCGTCATAGACTTCTTATCATGCAATCAGCCTGAAACGATCAATATACTAAGTGGGCCCCGGGTTGTCTTAGAAGATGCACCGACTGTTCTTGAAATGTCTTCGTAACGAGCATAACACCAGCAGTTGACTATTGAAAGGCTAATGACTAAGCCTTGGGTAGCCTTAAACTACAGCAATTCTTCTAGCGCATAGCCTCCAACGGCAAGAAAGATGCAATTTGATCTTGGCCGAGTCCTTCACTGTATGGAGTAGGCCGCGAAGGCCGTTAGGTTTACCAAAGAAAGAGCCGCAAAGCGAATAGAGAACGCGAATATGACTGTCGGTGCGGCGGCAAGTTGAGGATGCCCAGACGATGGTATAACTATGAAGTCGGTGTCGGAATAGCGCAGTGAGATGTCCACCGCGTTTGCCTTGCATTGTGGTTGGGGTGGCCAAACTGTCATCCGTGGAATCCGTACAATGAAAGCTCTAACCAGATGAATGAACGCCTTTTGAGCGGATGAGAGAAGGCTGATTAGCCAGCCCCGATGTGGAGGTTAAGTAGACTCAAGGCTGAGGAAGAGCGCCCCTTGCGAAAATCGGAACTATGGCAGCTGTCCGAAGAATACGTTTGATAAATCTTTTAATCGGGAGCCAAATGTTTGCACCACTTGATATTCACTTTCTGACAATGGTCAAGACCTGTCATGGTGTCAACGATGGACAGTAGAGACAGTCCAATGCAGAGGTCGAGCTACCAACCTCACAACCGGTGCCCCCGTCCGAGACCCTAAGCTCCCCAGCGGCTTGAGCAGGCAGTATCTTTATGTATGTATCCCACTTCTGGAGATGAATCTCTTGCCATTTCCTAAGTTATAACTGGCAGAGAGAGTCGCTGGTCAAATTGTCCAGGATGCTGGC